CTCGACCCTATTTAGGATTTTCGCGACTGTCAATTGGTACTTAGCCAGGGTTGCTACAGTCCAAAATTTCTAATTAGAAGAACATCAAAACTGCAAAATCTGATACAATTTTAAGCGAAGAAATATAAGACGTTCATTGCAACCATCTTCTTAGTTACCTTGAGTTCCCCTGCCATCCCCGTTATTTCAGGTTAGTCAGTCAGTGAGCGTCAAAATCGTAGCTAGTACTGAGTGAGCCATCAGTATAGGCGCCCCGTGCTTCGTTATCCTAATTTGTGCACATACGGTGTGTGTGTAAGAAACGCCTCAGCTTAGGACGGATAAAGATAAAGATAAAATATTTTTATTTGCGTAAAACACGGTATAAAGGTTGGTGGGGTTACAAAAATTCGTACATTCATGTTCTGCTAAACTAATCTAGCATGCAAACAATTACTACCTATATAATGTCAAATTAATTCTTTTATGTCATAAAAATTATTATCAATTAACCAATTAAACAATTTTTTCTTAAATATTCTTAAATTTAAATTCTTTATGTCATCTGGTATTTTATTATAAATTCTTACACCCATACATAAGCAGCTCTTGTCATAAACCATAGTCCTAGGAGTTTCATGAAATACAAGTCTATGCATATTTCTTTTAACACGCGGGTTTACTTCATGCGCTTTTTTAAACAGGTTAAATTTTTTGACAAATACACACATTTCAAAAATGTATAAACATGGAAATGGCAAGATGCCTAGCTTTTTAAAATATGGTTTACAAGATTCAAGTGGGTGCACTCCGCATATGGCCCGAATGCACTTCTTTTGTGCAATAAAAACTTTATTAACGTCTGTACTGTGACCCCAAATTATGAGACCATACCTTAAAACTGATTCAACATATGCATAATACAATGTCAAAGCTGTCTTCGTGTCTGTTATCTTTCTCATTCTATTAAGTGCATATACAAATTTATTGATGCGGTTACAAACATTATCTATTTGCATTTTCCAATTTATATTATGATCTAGTATCAGTCCCAGGAATTTTGTGTGTATATGTCTATCTATAATAATTTTATTTTGGTAAACAATGTCAAGATCCATATTACATTTTGTATTTATTAAATTATTAAATTGTAAATAAGTAGTTTTGTCAAAATTTATCTTCAATTTATTAGTACTTAACCATTCTACAATGTCAAACAACGTGCTATTAATCTCCTTTTCATGCTTTTTAATTACTTCAGGTGTGAGTTTTCTTTTTTCCGTTGTAACCACAACGGAGCGCACGTTTCTATTGCTTTATTACTCAATCAAGTTTAGTATTTCCAATTATGTTGATTACTTACTTTGAGGTTTTCTTCTAACTGTATACGATTTCTTCCAAGTAGGTTAAAGTAACAATCATAATTAAAAGAAAGCAAATACTTGACTGCGGTAATTTTAAAGGTATTTTTTGCGTTTGATCCGCCTATTTGAATTTCTGAATTTTCAATACAGCCAGTTGTCAACCCTAACTACTATATGTTAGGTGGAAATACTGTTGAAGAAATATACGGTTACATTTAATTAAGTACAAATCTCTTGAGGGTGTAATCTACTCACAAACCTGAACAACTTTTGTTAGAAACTTTTCTTCGAAATATGAAAAAACTATTTGGACCCCCCTAAGTAAGTGACACACTTTTTCAACACTTTTGTATGGGAGGTCCAATTGTTTTTTTCATATTTCGAAGAAAAGTTTCTAACAAAAGTTGTTCAGTTTTGTGAGTAGACCACACCCTTAAGAGATTTGTATTTAATTAAATGTAACCCTATATATAGTACCTAAAAGTACTATATTTTGGGCAAGTTTAATAACATGACTTGTCGCCCGTTAGCAGCGTGAAAAGTCGAGCTCGCATCGTTCGCGATGCGCGTACATTTCTTCCTGTTTTACACTCGCGACTAGTATTTAAACTTGTCGCCCGTTAGCAGCGTAAAAAGTCGAGCTCGTTTTGCTCGTGAGACGTGTAATTTTCAGTCTGTTTTCCATTAGCGGCTATTATTTTAACTTTCACGCTCGTTTATAACAAGAAAATTTGGCAACCCTACTTGCAGTGGGTGGATGTGGGCTGATGATTGTTCCTTAAAGAAAGTTGTCCAGTTTCATAGGCAATTGAACCCCGACCACTTCATATGAGTGTACCTGATTTTTTCTCACAATAAAAATGCTCACGTAAAAAGTTGAAAGCAAAATTAACAATCACAGAACACGAATATTGACCTGCCGTTCCTTTTGGCACTAATTGAAGCGTAAACTGAATTGAAAACGGACCAATATACTACAAAGAACATCCCAACTCTATAGTTCTTTTAAATGCTCTTCACAATGGACAAGGGGAAAATAAAAATACGAAAAGAGAGCGGTTGAAAGCCGCCGAAGTGAGCGGTGGGAAGCCGCGAAAGTGAGCGGTCGAGCGGTACTCGAAACTAATAAACAACACAGTCTTGGTAAAAACCAACTGAAATCCAACTATGAGGAGCGTACTGCCACAAGAGTATTTACAGAAGGACAGATCTCTATTTTTCGATCATTTATACCTACACCCTAGTTGCTACTTTTCTTTCTGAATTTTGAAAAACGTAATACCTGATCTGGTTTATGGGCAGAGTAAGTAGGAAGGTGCTTAGGTGCATTTCTTTCCTAAATTGTATCACACTTACACTCATTACAAAAATATTTGCACTTGAGAGTGGCATTTTGCCGTCCGCACGCACCGAATACTCCGCTGATGACACTCAACTAATAGCCGGTTTAAAACTGTTTGGTTTCGTACGTAAAAGACGGCATGAAGGTGTGTGTGAGCGTAGTGACGTTCCTTGTAGCCGTCTCTCCGTATAGTCGCCCGATAACACTTACTTTGTGGAAAAAACCAACTGAAATCCAACTATGAGGAGCTCTGCGGCCGGCAACAAGTGCCATTCTAGTGGCTACTATGGGTTGTATTTTAGGGATCCGTAGCAGTGGGTTTCAAAGAAATAAAAAGTTAGAAACGTAGTAACCGTACTTATGATGAGAGATGCAAGCAAGAGTCGCCACAGATGTTGGTTTGTATGTGTTGACCTTCTATAACTTCGTTCAACATCAGTGACACAGACTGTGTCATATCTTGTCTTGATCTTATTGATTTATAGGGAACTTTAATTCTTATTTTGAACGGTGCGCTTTGTAAGGTTACGTTTTGAACTAGACTCTTACGTTGTTTCTTACGATAAAGAACGCTTAATCTCCGCCTTCTTTTTTTTTATCGAAGGAACCTCACTGCAAGACTGTTTTGCTTCCCCCCTCCCCCACCACCGGCCGCCGGCTGCCACTACTCTCTGCCCGGTTTGTTTGCATTCACTCAACAATACTTTGTACCGGCTTTAGTACCGGGCTTCTGCCACTTCTACCATCCCCTTTCCATCTAACGCAATAAAGGACAGAGCACACTGCCTGCGTATGCAATGGGGTAATGGCTGAAAACCAGTGCTGCCCTCTTTTGGGTATTTTATGCACTGAGCCGTGGCCCTTTGCATCGCTTCAGCACACATGTGTATTTAACTGTGTACTATCTGTAGGTATCCGTAAAATGTATTCTCTTTCTGTTTTTTGTTAAATGCACGTTTGTGTTATAATTTTATGCAATACACGTTTTATCTATCTATCTATCTATCTATCTACTACAATCACAGTGTGTCGTATCTCATACAGTTCCATACATTACAACGTCATAGGGACGCGCGTGATGATGTGCACGTCACGCATACGGAGGCAGTCTGCTCTACCCATAAAACTTCAGAAACCTCTAATGGAAAAGCGATGATTCGCCCTATTTCGCATCACAAAGAAAAAGAATGTGATAACAAAAGCCACAAAAGACGACTCCAATAAATTAATAACTTTTATTTCGTGATCTGACGAAACAAAAACCGTGATTCTTTTGAAGCACTCTCAGTCATAAATTTCGTTATCAAATAACGATTTTCCTAACAAAATACTTTGTTCAAATATGGGGTAAAATGTTGTGATTCCAAGACGCAAACAGCTTTTAAGCAAATGAGTTCCTCAGTCGATATATAATCAAATAGCAGTAACTGTATGATACATTTATCATCGGCGTAATGTTATTACCGAGGAACATTATCTGGATTGGTTGTTCGGGTCATCGGCAGTATTTCATAAGGCAACCATCAAAACTTTATGCCTCTGGGCGGCGCCTTTAAGACGGTATAAAACTCCCGATACAAAGCATAAACCATTTTACAGCTTTTCTTTTTATATTATTTAGGTATTAGTCGTTCATGGGCTATAGCGTCTGATTTGATGCAGCAGGGTAGAATGGACACAGTTAATGAGCCAAAGCAGTATCGAAACTCGTCCCTTTTCTTATCTAGCTACTTTCAGTTGTACCGTAATAGTCTTCTTAATAATCTATTTCTAAAAATAAAAATACATAGGTACATTGAATACATTTCACAGGTAGAACGCTCAAGATTACTTTTTACTACAGGAAAGCGCCTATTTCCATTAAGTAATTTATTCAGTCGTTTCCTTGGCGCTGCAACTAGTGAGATAATGCAAATGGTGCATCTCTGCGCGAGTAGCTGAGCGTTTGCATGAACATTTGCTATACTGCTACTTATTTATGTACTGTGGTAGCAGGGTTAGGATGGGCGATCAGGCTTGTCGGGGAAAATCTGGACACGACGATAACGAGCGTTGGATTTTATTGACAAATAAAAATAAAGTAACGCCACTTTTTATCTTTGAGTTGCGCTGATTACGTCCGGAGCGAGAAGGCCGTTTAATGGACGGCGGACACTAAATGAAGGACCATTACCATTGATTCAACTGAGATAATACAAAGATGAAATGGTTTTTAGACTTGAACAATAATTTGAGCTGTTTTTCAAAGAACAATGGATAGTGAATGGTTGAACGCTTCACGTGTTAGGTAAACATTTTTGGAAACGTGCAATTTTCACCGCGGGCGGGATTTGAACCTCCGTCTTTTGGCATCAGTACTGCCGACGCCTCTACAGACTGGGCTACCGCGGTTCAATCTTAGTTTAGGTTCAAGTGTATCTTGGTCAACAACGCTTGGCAGAGCTCCATCTACCCTGAAGCCCAGGTTGAGCCGCGGTAGCCCAGTTGGTAAAGGCGTTAGCACTGGCAGTACATATGCCGAGAGTCGCAGGTTCAAATCCTGCCGGCGGTGATTGCAAGTATTTTCAAAAATTATGGACGGTTTTGACGCAAGCATGGTTCAACACCTGACAATCGTCTGTGTTCCACCATCACAGACCACAAACGCAACCAACGATTTTGATCGGTTTACACCTAAAATCCGTGTGATGCCGGCCTAGAATAGCATCACCCCAATTCTACCCGTGGGTGTCGTAAGCGACTAAGGGATAATTATCCAGGGAATGGGCAGCAGCGTTCCCTGTGAATTAAACATCTTGCACTGCGCTCGCCAATCCGCCTGCCAAGCGTGGTGAGTATGGCAATACCCCCCAATACGGGGGAGGCCCATGTCCAGCAGTGGACTGTTGTGGCTGTAAAGGACACCTAAAATCATAAAGCAAGAGATGAACTTGTAACTAAACCACACTCGTCTTAAATAAATAAAATCTTCGCGTATTTCGTATTTTATTAAGAGGCTACTATACCCAGCTGACAGATCGTGAGCTGTCAGTTGATAAAAATATTTCTATCTCATTTATGCATCCCACCCGTCCCGCAGCCGTAAAAGAGACAGTTATAGCTCGCTACCGGAAAATTTGCGTTCTGGGTTTACCAGGTTCCCCGTTCGAAATCGACACCAAATTTGTTGATAGTGGCATTATTTTGCTGCCAATGAAATATTCTATGCCCGTATCATTTGCTTTGCTGAAATTATTGTCATATTTAGAAGACACCAAGGCGTAAACTTAGTTATAATTTTAGAGCATTTTGCCACGGCCATATCTTTTTTTAAATGCATTATTACAACCAGAAAAAGAATATGGAGCATAAACCTAGTCCAGAAGAGTTACCGTTCCAAAAATTGAGTCGATCGGTTGCGAATTGGCAGAGGGATACGTTGAAAGCGTTTGTATGAAAAATAATGACTATAGATCCCTCTTAAGGCATGTATTTAACGCGGCGACAAATTGATACCATTCCGGGTCTTAAAAAAACTGAAAATGGATAGTAAATAGACTACTTTGGCAACTAATTTGAGGTAGCATCTTAACTAGAAAGCGGCGACTTTTTAATGAGTTTGAGGTTTTATTTAAATTTTATCTGGCAGTGATTTTCTTTTGTGGCAATAGAATTTCTCCTAAGGCGACAAATTATTGGCGGATAATTAAGTTAAAACAGGCTTTCATAAATTTTAAAATGGGATGGTTTATAAACTTGACCAAGGTCTGTTATAAATACAAACAAGATATTAAGAAAAAAACTTTCGGCTACATTTATAGGGATCTAAATAAACCAGATTGTGACATGCTAAAAACTATTCTTAGTATATTTATTATTTTCTTGACTATCTTATTTATTATTGATTTCCTCTTTTAATAAACTTTAAATGAATCTACCTACTTTGGGTAACTAGAGTTGCCTACAATACTTACGTAAGTATTGAAACATAAGTGTTGTTGGTAAATCTAGGTAGGTACTCAAAATAGGTAGGTTCATTTATTCTAATGCTGTTTTATTAATTTAAATAGCGTGTAATAAAAGGCATAAAATTTGATAATACTTAAAGACACCCCGCTCCGCAGCCCCCGCACTGCTCAGACACACGAGCGTATTTGCCACCTTTTTCAAGAATTAACGAATCTGCAAACATTATTCTAATATCCAAATACCTTATTATAATACCCATTTTCAGTTTTAAAGCTACCGAACAATCACTGCCAAATGTGTGTTTTTATAATGAAAGCCAATAGTTGCCAATGAAGAATGTTTGATATCCCCTCGGAAAAATTAGTCGCCACACTAGGCTTTTTAATACCCTAACCAGTTTTACACTGATCCCGCTTGATATATTTGATACCTTACAGTAGCAGCCGTTTTTTAGTTTTTTTGATCCTAGCATTTTGTTGCTTGTATAGTTTAATAGTTACTAAGATATTTAATCACTGCAAAGTTAGTATTTTTGTGACTTAATAGAAAGTTGCCTGAAAAGGAATTCAGTCGCCGTGTTAAATATTTGCCTTTTATTAATTTAAGGAGAAGCTGGTTTAGTTACAAATTGGTGCCGTGACCAGGATTCGAGCCTGGGTTACTAGTGGCACAAACTTACCCTTTAAAATATTCTCTAAAAACATAAACAAAACAACATAATGCCCGCTCAGTGTTCTAGAACCGACGGGCGTCATTACCCTGCTGGGCGAAGTTCGGGGAAGTTGGCCCAAGCTGCCGCGTGGCGGCGCTACGAACAGATTTTCGAGCACGTCACACTGCATAAAATAGTTGGAAAGTTGCACAAAACCGTATTGACACCGTGTGCGCGCAGTTCCACGCTCTGATGCTGGTGCATGTGATAAACTTAAAGCGTAAATACTTGAATCATCATCTTCCTGTCCTTATTCCAATTACTATTTTGTATGAATACAAATCCTTTTGCAACATGATTTTACGACCAGCCGCCTGGCTGACGTCAACCCTCTTTGGGAAAACTATTGTAGGTGGTATAACCGCCACTATACGCAAATGTGCAAGTTTTTGTAGAGGGCCCTACATCGTGGACGTAGGGCTGCTAAATAAAGACCAAAACCTTGTTCAATGGATAATATAACTCATTAGTTCTCCTCTTCGCTCTCCTACAAAGTGTTCCACTACGATAATCCTGGCTTTAGTCGGCTCACGTAGAACTATAGTCCGGCAAGTTCGTGCGCGACCTTTCCTAGCGGTGACAGACGTTGGGGGGGAAGATGTCAGTGGGTAGCGGGAGGTGTAGCGGGGAAGGGAGACGCGCGCAAACGCGCCCCACGTCATATAAAAATGACGTGCTTCCTCGCCCTCCGATCGTCTGTACCTCGCAGGAAGGTCGCGCACGAAGTTGTCGAACTATAAACACTTGTGTTGCCTACGAAAAACCTTATAGCAAAACGATGTTCTCATAACTTACACCCAACTGATCGACCAACAGATTTGCATGCAACGAAGTTTCAGCGCCGAAATTGTCGTAAACAGGATTACCGCCCTCATTGTTGGTCTCTAAACCAAAACTGCGGCAATAATTAACCAATACCGCCCCTAAGCGCCCCCATCGCCCCTGCCGCCCACTGCAGGTTTGTTCCAAAATACAACAAAACTTTTAGCGAGTCTTTGTCCTACACGACAATCAGGCGCAAGCCCGACAAATGAGACGTGCGACGCCAGATGCAAAAGGACATCGCGACGCTTGAGAACCGTTTCCTTATAAAATGTATGAAACAACAGAGACAAAGCTACACACTCACGTGAGACGCGCGTCGTATTAATGGCGGCTGACGATCTCCCACGCATCACGATGCACACCACCTTTCAAGAGGTGCCGAAATTCTGAGCTCGCACCTCAGAATTTCGGATCATAGATCGGAAGACACATCAGAACCTTCTTGCACCTTATCCGAATTAATATGGCGCACGCCATCATTTTTTTGTTTGTACACCCAAGTCACAAAATTATAATGCAAATGGATTTGATTTTGCTTTATGATTATGTATGACCGACTGCCTGTTGATTACCATGACAGGCTGGTTTCAGACAAGGTCAAAAACTTACTTAAAAGTGGAATAGGCAAAAGAAGCAGGAGCAGCAGAAGTAATTCAGTTAAAATCTGCTTTTGCAGATTATGAGCCTTAAGCTAACGTATTACATTTTCAGAGTAAATTGTTTCTGTTGACCATAACTTATACAAAGAAAATTTTGGAGCATCGTAGAACCACCCCCGTCTCCCTGATTTTAGCGTCAGAAAATTCCAATAATGGATCTCTGAATCTCGTCCTCGCATTCAGATTATTTATAACGGCCACTTGAGTTTTCATTTCATTTTAGATCTGGGACGCGATAGAGGAAACTCATGCTGTAATAAATTCTTAATAAGGCAGAAATCACATGTAACGACCGATGCAACGTTACTTTTGCGCTACGTGTTAGAACAATAATGAATTTTGACCAATTTTGACCTAATTTCCAAACAAATTGTTACACGTCAAACGGTTTGACAGAAGCATCCGTCGACACAGCATTGTGCTGCGTATCGCAACAGCTAACTAGCGGATGTGTCTATTTCACCGTACCGTATTTATATGAAAACAAGGTGAAAAAACGTATTTTCCTACGCATGCGATAGCGCTGCCGAAAAATAACGCAAAAGCGGACGTTACGTGTGATTCTCGCCTAACGTTGATGTACTTGCTCTCAATTTAGAAGGAAATGTGAGAAAATTCAATAGAACCAAATGTTCGCTCTTTGAAATATATTTTTTGAATTATTTACTAAGTCACTTCTCTTTGCAAAGTAAATGTATCCATGAATATTAAAGCCCACTCGAAAATTTCGATTGATATTTTCTTTTTAATTTTATTCTAAATAATGTCATCTTTGTGAAAATACGAAATTACTTTTGAATTTATTTCGCGTTGCTGGATGTAAGTATGATTTAATAAGATTTCTAAGAACACGTGCTCTTGTGATTATGAACTCTCGTCAACATAACTTGATCAATATTTTCTGGTTCAGCATATAGCTATGAAAAATAACCAATATGGATTGACCCCTTAAATGGGTAAAGATTGTAGTACTGCTGATAAGTACTTGAAGTCATAATAAAAGTAGATATTTTACGCCGATGGCTATTTCGTCTCCACAAGCAACTATAGGAATAATAAAGATGATAGTCGGACGTTGTTAGTGGCCCCCATAAAAATTTATGGCCCATCTATCACCACATATTCATACAGCCTTATCGTTAAACTAGGCATATGCATTGAAGGGACAAATACACTAGCTATGTGTCTATAGCAAAATCTATGACGTCATGATCCACGATCCTGGTCACGGCACCAATCAGAAGCAT